TTATCATCTAAAGAATTAACTCACAAAGTATGTATGTGTTTAGTATTGCAGATTTAATATCTCTAAATAAATATAACTAACTAAACTGGGTATTTTTATCAGTCTAGATTCTTCACTTATTTTTAAATCTTCTATAACAGATTTTGATATATGTAGTAGTGTAGTACCTACTGCTACTATTATTCTGAGAATTATGGAAAAAAAAGTCTCGGCAAACCCGAGAAAGGTAATACAATAGGTGAAGCCAACTACCTGAAACCCTTGCAACAAAACAGTGCAACAACAAAAAAAAAGTAGCAGGTAAAAATTCCATTGGGGATCATAAAACTTTTGTTTGTAAACAAAAGTTAATATTCACTGTGAGCCACGCTTGGTCTAAAGCCACTGAATGAGTATGTTCAGCCTATCATAAATTATTGTAAAGCAAAATCACGTTTCAAAACATGATCATACATCTTGTTTTATGTAACATGATACTATGATTACATGATGATTTATGTATGAATCAGTAAGCTGGACCTAGTCTAAACAAGATAATAATATATGTTGTTTAGACTATGTACTTATAAGCTAACTGATTCATACGTAAACTATATGATTATAATCACGTTCTAGTGTTGTTGGAGCTGTAATTGTATCATTCTATGTAGTGATAAAATTTTATGTCTGTGCCTCAATTTGTATAAATAAAAAATACCTACTAAAAATATATAGGTACCTATTATTATCTATTAACAACTAGCTGTACCCGCGACTTCGCCCGCGTGAAATTAATAACTTAAAATAAAAGTAGCCTAAGTTACTCCTTATTACATCAGCTACTTGCCAATAAAGGTCCCGTCAAAATCGGTTCAGCCATTTCAGAGATTAGCCGGAACAGACTGACAAACAAAAATTGTAAAAAAATGTTATTTTAGTGTATTTATATTCATATGCATGTAATTAAAAAACGGTTATTTCCATATTACAAACATTCCAATTTTCTTTATATGTATAGAGTATAGATGTATAGAATATAGATTGTCAAAAATAAATAAACATATTTCAATGTTTCCTTATTAGCCTTTTGTAATGACTAGGTATATTATTGTGATATAATGGGTAAAGTTATAACATGTTTTAACTCACTCCCGCGACTTCGTCTGCATCACACTTATTTGATATTCATCGTTATATTTCGACCAATTTACATAATATCTTTTTAAATTATAGGCTATGTGTTATTCTGATGTTTATGCTATATTACTATAAAGTTCCATCAAAATCCGTTCAGTAGTTTTTGCGTGAAAAGGTAACAAACATCCATTCATCCATCTATCCATACTGACAAACTTATGCATTTATAATATTTGTAAGAAGATTTAAAAAACGTACACTAACTGTCTTATGACACATTTACACCACAACAATCAGTATGAATGTAAATAAATTAGGGCTGAGAAAACTAATTATAAAAACACAAATTTAAACCCTTATTTACTTGTTGAAATAGTGGTTACCTGTTTTATGACGCACCTACTTTTACCCAATAATACTTACATTGGGAAGTCGGTATGAAACTCCTGTAACTAACAACTGAACATACTCTTTTACACCATATTACATCATGAAAACAGTTACGCAATAATTACAGATTTTAATTATAAAAAATATATATCAATAAAAATAGGTAAATTTTGGACAATCACAGTATATAATAATTTATTATATGTATCATAACTGTCTCCTGTTTATAAAGAAATAATAAATCATAATATGTAGGTACCTATATTTAAAACTCATTATGAAATATTGTGTAATTAATATAAGTAAATATTCATTTATTTCACACCATTAAAAATATTTTCAGTACAACATGAATTTTTACCTCTTATGGTAGTATTGATTTTACCAATATTCAGGTTTATATTATATTATAATATTTGCAAGATACAGATTATATGTAGATATACATATATGTTACAACTATTTATTCCACACTACATGATGGTTTCTGTTAGATTTTGTTTATTTGTTATTATTATTGTCAATAGTACATAGTCAGAATGAATAAAGATAACATTAATTCATCATATCACACATATATTAAAATAGAAATCATTGTTTATCTTTATATTAAGAAAAAATAAACTAGGTCCTCTCTCTCCGATATCACAATGGGCGTTATTGTAAAGACAATAGCATGAACAGCATTGAATGTTTATAAATTTTGGGTTAATGAAAATCAAATGTGATGTATGATGTTCATAAAGTAAAAAATGAAATAATGAGATTTATGAATTAATTTGTATGACAGTATCTTATCAAAAGAAAGCATTTTTTTGCATTTCGGGTTTCACTGTCTATAACTATGACAAGGAAGTCTGATATGTATAGGAATATGGGGAATACTGTTCATCTATTAGTACATACACAATCCTAATAAACTCAGGACACAATATATGATGCTTTCTAACTGAAGTAAACATAAAGTCATAACATTCTTCATTGCACACTGAATAATGCTAAACAAAAGACAACCTTGTTGCTTAAAGCAATTTCTTACAAACAATATTGGTATTGGGCAGGACATTGTTAGTAATGGGCTAGTACTAGAGGCTCCATATTATCCTATAAATATGATATTGATATGATACCCTCTAGAACTATTGTTGTTAATATTAATTCCTGGTGATATGGCACCAGTAGGTTAACTGATGTGGCTATATCCTTACTCCATCATTCTCAAATAATGCTGTTAGCGCAGGCTAGTACTTCATCTTCTAGTGACAATTATTGTATATTGACAATAATAATAACAAATCAAAATCTGACAGAAAACATCATGTAGTGTGAAATGAATAATGTCACAACATTATAATACTTAAATCTAACAACAATGATATTATATAATAACATGAATTCATTCCCAAGTAAATTAACATGGGAATGGAAAAGGATAATTTCTAGGATTTTTAAAAACTTATATTGAATGACAAACATGAAATATGAATAAAATAAAGATATACCCATAGGAAACAGCAAAAAAAGGGAACAAGTATGGTAGAAGTATAGGTGTGATATAAGGGCAGTAGCTAGACCAATATAGAGAAGGAAAACTTTGGACAGAGGAGCTGGAGTCTATTAGAGTAGGCCTATATCTTAGGACAAGCTTGTTAACTGAGACAGTGAAATGAAAATAAACAAAAATATAGTTATTTGTCTATCAGAATAAAAGCTATAAATAAATTAAACAAAAATGAATGACTTATTTTAAAACATAAATAGTATGCCCTCCTTCATTCTGAACAGTAAAATTCACTAGAACAAAAAGGTTACAAAGAACAAAGAAGAATAACAAGAGAATGGAGAACAATGGATGCATTTTAGAATGCATTTACAGAAAACTAAGAAAGGATGTGACAATAGTGAATGTATTATGCTTAACAGTAATTACATTGTTAAGAGATGGTTTCTTTTTTAATAAAGTATGATCTAGCATACAAAATTACTAATATCTTTGAAGTTAAGCTAGTGTTCATAATTTACATTTTAAAGTAAAATATTAATATTAAAGTATGACACTATAAAATTCTAACAAAGATAGGTTGCTAGATTCCCTAAAAAATACATGAAAGTCAAAATAACGCTACTAGGCAGGAAGATGATGATGATGAAATAGTAGTCCCACCTGTGCTAATGGTATGGACAAGCACAAAACCAGTGAATTATGAAAGAATTACTTTAAAATTAGATAAATTAAGTAATTGTGGCTAATTTTTGAGTCCTAAACTACGATGGTTTCTACATAGATCGTGTGGAGGTAGACCTTAGTGTATATTACTGCCAATGGGGCTAATAGCCCTCATTACTAAAAGTACCCCCAGATAGATTATTCAGTAGTAACAATTATAGCAGACAATATACAGATATGTAGGTACATTGAACTTAACGAGCATTGTATATTATGTTGGTTACCACGCCTCGTTGTAAAAGTTAATCGGCAAACATAAAAATATCATTCCATCCCATACATAACAAACATTTGGTAGCTTTAGTAGTAATACCGATTACGCGAACAATTGAGACCAAAGCAGGAACATTCTAGCGTTACAATTATAGGTTTCATGAGTATTCATGTTAATGACGAACGATGGTGACGTCCGCCTGCCAACGGACAGGACACGACCTTACTTTTTAGTTGATACGTACTTATTTTGAACAATCAATAATAGAAATAATTAATTTAAATAAAGAACTTACCTCCACAGCCATACACATTGAAATAGAAATTGAACGGTGGCAGCCGTGAGTAGCCAAGGAAATTCACCACACACGCTAGAAACGTGTGCTCGGCACAAAAACAATTCCGAAGACTGAATGAAACGAGCAAAAATTGAACTGATGAATGAGTTAAATTGAATGAATGCATAGAATAATTCACTCCTGGAGTGAATGAAAAAGGAGACAATATTTTGATTGGTAGGTTGGCTGAATCAAAGTTGCCATCTCATAAATATAAGTGTTTTTCTATAATTCATCCCCATTAATGCAGATTAAGAAACATATTAATGCAGACGATTCTACGTAAGGTACGTAGAATCGAATACTAAAGTACATGTAGTTGGAAAATAACTCCTAATCAAAGAATATACTCACCACTCTATTTTTTATTCCTAATGCAATGCAAGCTTAGTTTCTATTAGTTTAATAAAAAATATGTGTTAATAATCGATCTCGACTATGACTACTGTAGGTAAAAATAGACTATAAACATTTTTTAAAAGTGAGCCGATACATATAACAACTGAGCAAGTAATCACTATAAATGTTCACGGTTCCTGTCGTTTAATACCATAGTTATTGCAGGTCAATTTCAAGAACATAAATGTTATTTATCTGAGGGTATAATCACAAACTATATGAAGATGCTGAGTTATAATCCTTTTAATAATAAAGACAGATACTGATGTTACTGAACATAACAATTGCGAATCGTGCAATAGAAAAATAAAACCGTCTATAAATAAAAACTTTAATTATTTCGTTTATAATCTATCATAATATCAATGTAGATTACATAAACATGTGATCGTTGAACCCCGGCGGAGGAAAATGGTCAGCATCAGGTGGCCCCGGTCTGCGACCAGGCCGAGGACCAACGGCGGGCGGACCGAAGGGATCAAAACGAGCCCCAGGTGGGACTGCGCCTCTGTTGAGCAATAATGAAAAATATATAAAAGTTATAATTTAATTACTGTTACAAATTATTAATATATATGTAATGTAAATACATAAGAGGAGATATTTAAATAATGACCGACCAGTGAAATTGCAATTTTGTATTAAAATATGGCCCAAATTTGCAGATACACAAGATCGTAATGACACTACTTAAGAACACACAGTACAGCTAGTAGGTCTTATATTAATTGGTCATGGTATAAGTCAGTTATGTCTTAAGATAAAATTTCTAAATTATGTAAAATTAATAACAAAACCTTGGAAGTCCACCAGGAATGCCAAGTCCAGGGTCATCTGGATTCCTGCCAGGTGCAAATGGATTGAAAATCATACCACCACCTCCTGGAGCGAATGGATCAAGATCAGAGCGGCCAATATTTAAAGGTGCAGGAGGCAAGTCCCTGTGAATAATAAAAGTATTACTTAATATCTATCACAAGTTGTCTGTAGATCGCTTATACAGATGAGACCATCTTTTGTTATACCCTTTTTAACATATTGTTTGTTCTCTATTTGTTGTCTCTGAGGAATAAAGAGTTATTATTTTATCTTATATCTTCACTATTCTTATTAAGAGGGAGCATACTGACATATCATACTGATATAGCATATAAGCATTTAAAAAAACTCTTTCAGCAGGCAGATATTAAAAATGTGTAAACTACGATTTATTAGTCAATTTCTCTTAAGAAGAAGTAGTAGTAGTCTTCTGTAAGAAGTCACTTGCATTGAAATTTCAATCTCCGCTTTCAAGTTAACCGCCAAGCAGCTTGATTTGTATCTGTTTCAGTTGAAGGATGAAATAGAGACAGTGCCATCACAGGATAAGAAGCATGACATCATAGCCGTCTAGAATGGCAATGCATGAGTGCTATATAGGTGTCATATGATAATGTGATAACTTTTATGTATTGATGATTACTACTTACTATTACATCTATGCCATCAGCTTGTTTGTCTATTAAATTAAATAAAGTACTATACACTATGTAGGGAACAGTGGTAAATTCAATGCTCACCATGGATCTGGTATATCAGGTCGTGCACTTGGCCGTGGTCTTGGTGGTACTCTAAGAGGATCATCTGAAGGAATCCTGCTGGTATTGCCTGTAAAAAGAAAATAGGCACTTAGTATTTGCATATGCTGAAAACTTGTCAGAAAGATACTGGTTGTATGATAGTAAACATGTGATTTAACACTATCCATAATTTGTTAATGAGGAAACCTCAGATGTAAATAAATAATTTCACTCCCTTATTTAAATCTGGACCTTGTAAAATAGAACCAATCTAGTTCCACACTAAACAGTACAGTATAAGCGCTAGATAACTGATGGAAATACCTAAATTACTTCTTTGTAAATATGTAACATATATTGTTGATTAAATAGAAAAATGTCATTTTTAAAAATTAGAAGCTATAATTGCCTCCTTTTATATAAGTAAATTAAATTAATCATGCCACATATAAATTTTTGTTAAAACTTTAAAGGAAAAAAAAATTAATTAAATTTAAAAACTTTAAATGCTTGTCTTGTAAGTAATGTACATTTATAGTTATAGTGCCATTTTTCTATTTAACCAATGATATATGCTTTTTTAAAATAGGCTATAATGTAATGTTGCTATGAGCCTGCCCTTACAGTAGCATAGCACCCATGAAGGATTTCAAACTGGTCATGAGGTTAGCTCAGTTAGTTCATTGTGACAATTCACAAGAAATTAACTACTATGGTTCCAAAGGGAGGCCACATGTAGGTCAACCGCAGTATTGGGTTTTTTTTTTATTAAAGTAATATCTGACGCTGTCTTTGTGACAACAGCCTTTTGCCCTATGCAGTAGGTGGTTTTAGTGCCTCCATTACTAGCAAGTTAATATATTATATTGCCAATATATCATATATTAACAATGGAATCACTAGTACCCAATTTGAATAACCATGTTTTCATACACATACAGCTATGTAATGTGCACAGAACTTACTTCTTGATGTCTGTGTCTCTGTGGTTGTAGTGGGCTTTGATGTAATTGTATCTATCAGATCTCTTTTCAAATTATATATCAAATCTTTATGGTATGGCATCATCTTGTCTATGGGCCCACTCATCTCTGTCACTGTGTCCTCAATATTTAATGCAATATTTGATACTGCTAAGTCATCTGACCTCTGTAAAGATATAAGTATGTTGTTGTTATGAAAGTCATCACTATTATAAGAAATTATTGGACTACAAGAATCATGCTGAGTATCATACCATTAAATTGAAGATTAAATTGCCATCAGTGTTCAATGCATGGAGAATATATAGCTTGTCTTCTAAAAGATATCTTATAATGTAAGTATCTTTGTCATGCCAGCCTGTTGGCAGCAATTCACTTCTCTCTTCTTCACCAGTCAATGTACGCTGTAATATTATATTATCAATTAATTAAAACACTGTAAAATTAATAATTTTATAATACCAATACAATAGGGATACCAATTTGTATATAATTACTGCATTAACTTATTGTGATATTATTTGTTTTAATTTCCATTACATCCAACATGTAACTTTATAAACAGCGTAAATTAAATTCTGTCCATGATTTCTTATTCAAGCCTTGCAATTTCTGTTTAAAATCACAGAAACTCTTTTTTGGCTGACTAATTTGCATGCAGAGTTATTTATAATTAAATTAATTACTTATTGTGAAGATAGATAGCAAACTATGTGACTCTAGGCAGATTGAAACTTTAAAGTTGTGTACGAGAAAATGTGACCCTTTAACATAAGACAGTACCGGTTTTATTGCATTGTTACATGTTTACAAATATATGACAGGTTTCCAAACATGAGGAAGATTAGAAAAGTGGAATTCTTCGAAACTCAAAATCAATGCAAATCGAATGTAAGTAGGTGATTTTAACACTGGTTGCATTTAAAACACAATTATGGATCTTACAATTGAAAAGGTGTACAATAGAAAGTAAAGTTGTACAAACCTCATCCCCTACACCAATACTACGAAAACCCCTTCTGATTAAATTCCAATGAATAAAAGCGACTAGGATATCAGATTTTCGCCGTATATCCCTTTCAATAGTCTTAAACGTCAAATCCCATCCAAAAAGGAGATCTCCGGACATTTTAACTTTACACTACGACTTTAAAGCGTAAACAATACAAATATTTCGAATGATATATTAAATGTATTTTGATAACAATATGAACAATCACATTATTTTTGAGAAATTTATTGTTTTTTTGTTATTTTAATTAATAAAACTATGAAAGTTAATAAAACACCAAGAATGACTATTCTTTGTAGATTTTCAGAATTCTGCAGAGACAATGATTTGCTGTTTATTGTAAAGACTGAAATTGAATCTAGTAGAAACATCAATACTGATTTAAATGTCAAAATCAAATGACAATTCGACAGTTCTAACTTGACAACTAGAGTTGTCGATTTATATTGCTTATTAAGGATTTAAACCACAGTCGTAAATGTTGTAACCGAAAAAAAGGTAACAGTTAGTCCAAATTTCTAGATTTTTCCTAAATGCCATTTCCTAAATATTTTTTTTCTGATTTTTCTCTTGATGGCTACAATCAATCCTGTCGCCCCGTTTCGGCTTGACGTAGAGTTCTGGGACAGACTGTATAAGTCAAAGTAAGATCATGATTTTTAATGTGAACCTATATATTTAAAACAATTATTTTCGTAGAATACAGGACCACAGGTTTACATAATAATCATATTAAAGCTATAATAGAAATAATTACGACAGAAAATGTATAACCAGTATATAGATAAAATTATATAATTTTAGTAATAGGAATTTTAAAGACTTATTTTTTAGTACGGTTTCATAATGCCTTTATTTCTAACAATGTAAATTGTTATACAAATAACTATGTATATATAATACTTTTATATAATATTAAACGTATTGTGTTATTTTATTTCGTTACATTAGCATATTCTCTACCAGTCGGTTTCTTCGCCATTACAGAAGTTCAAATAGAATCTATCGATTATCGATTTATATTGAAACCTGTTTTTCGGTAGATTCGTTGAAGCACTATTGTGCTGTGCAATATAAAAACAACATGGCCGCCAGTGTCAATTCTGGAACGTCGCGCTTATAACGTGAAATAATGAATTTTGTTGTTTTAGAATATGGGTGAATATGTGCAATAATTTATTATACTCTGATGTGCAAAGTGTTGTGTTTTGATTCTATTTGTGTAATTTAAGTGTCAAAATGGCCTCGGATAAGATAAAAGTAGCAGTTCGAGTCCGTCCTTTTAACAGGCGAGGTAAGCTAGTTTCATTCGACTAATAAATACAGTATATCTTACAGGTGACTACGTTTTTGAAGTTTATCTATGTCTTGTTTGTCAGATAAAGCCAGCCACAATTTCATTTGAGTTACCGATAAACGTTTCTTTAATATACTTGTATATTATTGTAGTCTCTATTGCCCAGTTTACCGTCTGAAAAGAGTTCCGTCTTCACAAAAAATATGTATATATAATAATATATATATATATACCGTATCCGTAAATATATATAAATTAATACGTATAATATAAATATACCCTATAGGCAAATTTATTTCCTTTCTATATTGTACTGTAGATTCAAAATAATATGTGAGTGAATATTTTTGTTACCCGTATTTTCTGGATACAATTATTTATTTAACGCTTTCATGGTATGTTTAAGTGACCAAATAAAGTTACTTATTTACAAAGATACTAATTAAATATATTATTTTACTGATAATTCTATGTTAGTCAAAATTTAATCTAATCAAAATATTATTCACGTAGATGAGAAGAACTGACAAGTCAACTTGTATTCTTTTCAAATATGGTTGTACATGTTTACAATCATACAGATTCATTTTTTAATACAAATTTAGAAGAATAGTGTGATCATTAGCATATATAAATATAGACCAAATGATATTATCATTCTGTCTTTACTATATGATGTCATGTAAATTGTTAAACATTTAATTTTCTTCTGTTCGTTATTCCTCATGTTGGGTCAACACATTATGTTTTTCACTTCCATTCATATCTCTTGCTCTAATTTTACTATTATTTTCCTTTCTTTTAAAAGCATTCACCATTTACACCAAGATTATACAAAATTATATGTAATAATAAGTAAAATGTAATTTTAGAATTTCTGATATTTGACAGTCTACTATTAGTGCACTAAATACATTCTTCTCTGTGTAGACACTCAAAGTTCATTAATAAAAGTCTGATCAGAAAGACATATAAATACTATCAATACAGGTGGTTGAGTCAGAAGTGTAATTTTCTATGCTAGTGACTCATCATTGCAGAGCCAAAACAACTGACATCTAAAAATATAGTTCTGCAGTTGATTCTTTGTATTCATTTTAGGATAGATTATTAGTAATTTCTTTTTGAAGTTAAACATGATGATGATGAATGAATAAAATTGGGCTTTATTTTAAAAGAACATCAATCTTACCCGAGCTCACGAAAAAATATTTTTAATAGTCTGACATACTTAAAACTATGAGACAATTGTTTTAGCATTTCTTGCATTTGTATTTTATAATCCTATTATTATTAAGGATATGAATGAAAAAAGTGACTATGTAATTGTTCCTTACTTCTAGAGGATGTGCTACCTTTTTTAATGTATAATTATGTCATGGTCATGCATACAATGATATGGGTGCACTTGATAAATAAGTGCATAGATTAAGGTTAATAACATGTTCTTGAAAAACCCCTGAAGTTAAAATATTAAATGAGTCATATATTTTTTTCTTATAAATTTTAAGTTGTAATTAAATAAAAAATATACATAGTTAACCTTGTTTATTATTCAATATAAATAAAATTTCAGTATTTATAAATATATGATATCAGAATATAATGTAATTTGTTAAAGAGATAGACCATGTTTTAGATTACACACTATTGCATATTTGTTTTCATACTTATAAACTTATAAATTCACATGTATAATAATTCTGCTATGTACATCTATAAATATATAGTTAAAATTTTTGTCCCTATAGACTGTTTAGTTCTTTTTTTGTACTATACATTAACAAGATTGTAATTGACATTTAGAATAAGGAATAAAAGCTTTTATCTACACTTTTACAGACATGTGTGTACACAAATTTCAATTCAACTCACAAAGAAACCTTACCTAAATCGATTAATGACCTGTAAATTAAATTATATAAAGATGTAACCATAATCCATCATTGACACGAAATCTCGTCGTCTATTAATTAAAATAAAAATACAGTAGCTAAGTATAAATTATTTGACCAACAGTTACAAAGCATTTGCTTTCGTAACACCGTCAAAATTATTAACGCCCAGTTACGCTTTGTGCAGCAAAATGAACAGTTAATGTAGGCTGTAAAACGTTACTCGTCCCGTAGTTCGTCATGGTGAATAAACGCTGAGTATCCGCCATTACTTGGAGTTGGTATTGCTGCGGTTCCACTTTGCAACATCTTTACGTAATTTAAATCGATTCTAGCAGTTGCAATTCGCGACAAGTGCACCTGTTCGGCTCTGAGTTCTTTTATTGCTGGTAGAGTTGTGTAACGGTCTCGTCGAAGGTACTGATTAAGTAGTAGATTCAGTATTATAAATTCAAGTTACAGTATTTTATCATTGAACATTACTACTACACTACTACATGAATGCGAAAGTGCATTTTTTGTTAGTTATCTTTTCATAACTAAAAGGTGGAATGGATTTTAATGATATTGTATTAGAAGAAATGATATTGGCTTGTAGAAAGGATACTCGCTTGGTTCGAGTTCAAAGACTTAAATTGTTTTCTATATTTACTCTGTTTTGGATACTAAGTACTTATTGCAATACATATAATATTTGTAAATTTTTTTTGCTTGTTTAAATATTAATGTATGTTTTCAAAGTTCAGCTATAATACCTACATTGTAAAACAGTTGCAATGTACATTTGAGCGAGGCCACATTGTACAGCTATAAATATATTCAGCACTTTATGTTTGCAATAAAACTGAACCATATACCCTGCACATGTAGCCGGCAATGTTCAGTTCATTTTACATAAGCCCGATGTATATAAAATAGTGTACTGAAACCGGATTTGAAAGAGAATCGGCGCGGACGTACATCCCGACCTCGGGTTGACTCACCTCAATGCTTACGTTACTACATTTAGGCTTAGGTTACAATACAACGTTACTTCATACTTTATAAACATGCAAACATATTACTGTGTTAATTATTCCCAAAATTTGGAACCCGAATAAAGAACTTGATGTTAAAATCATCAATGTAACGTTTTCAATTCGATCGATTTTAGAAGTTTGGAACGTTCTTATTATTGTAATTAGTAGGCTTTGTAGCGAACAAAACAAAACGTAACTCCCTGTCTATGCGGCTGATTGCATTACGAATCATTTTCAATGGTACTCTTGTAAATTCCATCCGAAACTTTATGAAGTCAAAATTTTGTTGTTTAACATCGGTGGTATAATTCAAGAAATCTGATTCTATAGATTTTAGATCGGAATTTAATGTTGCTTATTTAAAATGTAACATCGATAAATTGAATTCATACATGATATAGACGTCTAGGAAATCTCGTTGCTAACTTGTCTGGTATTGAGCTTTCTTCGTGTCTAACCTACTTTTGCGACATCAAAACCTTGTTAGTTGACTAGACGACAGCCATTATCTATATTTCCAAGTGCTTAGATGCTTGTTGTTAAGTAATTATTTAATTACGAGTTGTTAGTGTTTGAAAACATAAAAATCTCGTCTGGCACCTTTTACAATATAATCTACATAATAGCGATATATATTCGACATAGGACTAAATGACCTGAGTTCATCCTCATTGTATTCTACTCCACTAATGCTCCCCCAGCGTGTATATACTTGTTGGCGCAGGCTGGTACTCCTTTTCAAATATGTACTGTTATTTAAAAAAAAAAAGAATATATTTCAGCATGCCTCAGTCGAGTAGAAGGCGTATAAAGGACTTTTAAATACCTCCTGCCATGAGCAAACCTTTGGAAGCAGCGAAGCCGTCTCATAAAATTATTTTTACAGTAATTATTTTAAGTATTTGCGCTTTTTTTTTACTCAACGAGAATTGTGCTCTAAAAAGTAAAGATTGCCATTCTGAAGCGCTAACAAGCAAAAATATAATATCTTCAATGATACAAGTGATGATTTTAAGATAATCAACAGCATAATCATTTAATTATATCTGCTATTAAAAGATCTATGGAACATTACCGGCGATTAGCATTCTAGTCGCCCCCGGCACGCGTTCACCGTACGTCTCCAGTTCGATTTCATTCAGTTATCTCAGTGGCTTCGGACCGTGTCTAATGGCAGTAATGGTACTTGTTTCATTCAACAATGAGTACGCCTATTACCACAGGCGTAGATTGTGGTAGAGAGCGCAAGTACTTCTGTATAACTACGAAATGTATGTCATGTTCATTGCTATACTTATTTTGTCGCAGTTGGTAGTTTTTTATTGTGAAATTAGAAGTAAAGTAGATTTGTGATTAATAGTATTTAAAATGTAATATTCTATAGAATCATTGTTTATGTTTCCTCGCGTATGACTTCAATGACTACTCTATGCTTGCTATTTAAGCAAAGACCATTCCGACAGCATTAAAAAAATACGCTAATAGGATGCCAAGGTATGAAAACATAGAGCTGGAATTGGTTCACTCATCGTTGCCACTGAAGAACATCCTTCCCCACTATTATAGTAAGGATCTCTTTATACAAGGCTGGACGCCGGAGAAGTTCAAATCAGCATCATTTGAACATCTCTGTTGTATAAAGAGAAGAACGTATAATGATATTTCCTCTAGTCGGTAATCGTTGTCTTTTTAAAATAACAGTTTCATGTTTTCGAGACAAAATTTTGCCGAGATATATGTAAACGCTCTACGTTTTCGTGTAAAAAATGTGCAAGCTGTTATTCTTGGAAAGTTGCGACATCTATTTAAATTCAATGTCTGTGTCCAATTACCCTTACCCACCTTTACTTACCGTAACGGATTATGTTAAAGGAGGTAAACAGGCGGATTTATGTAACATCTTATGTAATATATATATCTAATGATGTAATTGTAAATGCAAATTGAGTTCCATTATAATAACCGCACATTATGTTAGTAATGACAAAGGAAATGTGGATTTTCGTAAAGTGGAGTAGGTTACACACAGCAGCATACAGTTATATTGTTCTGTTCTCCGTATTTAATACCTTTTTCTTACCTTAACCACGCACTGCTGGGTAGATCTTTCTCTTCAAATTAGGATGATATAACATCGTATTATAGAATTCTTTTTCCTCGCTACTAAGGGTTGCGATTACCCCGCAGGAAAACATACTCTCTGCTCCTATCCCTTCATCTCTGTCGGACTTCATAATAGAGGTCGTGATGGATCTAGATAGATAATTATGGAATACATATCAATGTGCCAAAACGAAAAACCGACCCTCTTCAGCTCCGGGTGTAGTCGCCCCGTTGATCCGTTGATTAAGTGGGGGGGAAAGGGTCCTGCCTAGGGCCCCCCACCTCTACCTTTGTAAGGAGGTGAAGAAGCCCGTGTCAGACTTATATAATTGATATTTCCTTTGTAATATTTCTTAATTGTGCTTTGTTCACTTAGTCGCCCCTTACTTTTCATCCCGGTTATTGACCTGGGTTGAAAAGTATTGATGATACACTATATATCAATAAACCCATCTTATTTCGTACTACTACAGGACAGGATTCATTCTGTGTATTGTAAATAAAATATAGGTTGTCACTGCTATCGTAAGAAAGTTCATTGTGAGTGCCATAGTATATACTTACTATGCTTGTGAATCAGCAGAGAGCCCAAAAGGAAGAGGGTCCAAGACACTCTTTCCCATACTACCTTTTTTATAAAATAAATATGGTGGGTTCAATGATATTTGGTAGATGGAACAGACATTTTAAGGAGACTTTCGGTGCGCAACGCTCGTAATGAACTCACTTACTTGTTACTTACAAGCAATCCCTGTTAATGTAATAGAATTCTAATAAATATTTATTTGTTTGTTTCAGAGCTCGAACTTGGTACACAATGCGTGGTGGATATGGAAGCGCAGCAGACTGTTCTGCAGTACCCTCAGTCAGGACACGACAAAGAAAGGTTAGAACGAGGTTCAAACTATTTTAATAAATAGGCATGTATACGTATAAAAAAAATAGGCTTACCATCATATATTTACCATCTTCTATCGAGTGAGGCTGTAAAACAGTAATACAAACATTATCTATTGTGCAAAACAGAAAAAATGTAATGTGTATACCTAAACATTAAAAACAACTCGAAATAAATCCTTTAGGAAGCCATCTACCTGCGTGGCCAGTACTAGGCCTAAACCTCTACTTATCTGCTCCACTGGAGACAGTATACTCTGTAGCGAAATGTTAACGGATTATTATGATATGGTCTTGTAAATAATAAATTTGTGTCCGCCATAACTATATGGATTAGGTCTTTCAAAGATAGTAAGTGGTCTTCAAATAGATAGACTCAATTTCGCATTTATAATATAAATATGGAGTAGCAATGAAAACAATATATGTTCAGTGTAGGAAGTTTTGATAATCGATCTAGCCTTAGAAGACTTCCTTGCCCCAGATTAAATTCTGCGCGTGTCTTAATTAATATTAGGAAATATAATGCGATATCGCTAAAAGTTTACGGCACCGTAACTATAATTATCTTTGTTGTTATTTTAATTATAACAAAAAGTGCTAACGTATCCGTGAATTTATTGGATGGATATGTATATCTGCTTCGTGACGGATCCTCCATCCTCAGGATATTAGAGAAGACTAGGGATGAAGTTACAATTACGTTTTTAAATGAAGGTCTCCTAAGAAACGTCTTTCTCCAATCTTATATTCACAAGTTACAACCATTGCCATTGCACAATAATTGTGATATGATATCGACATTTTTTAAAGTAGAATAATCAAAATAAATATGTCTTTGGCATAGACATCGCGCGATGTAAACAACAAAAAATACAAAAATAACTTATTGGAACCCGGCTAAAATTTAGGTCCTTTTTCATCCACGTTACCAAATAAAAGCATGCTTTTGGTCGCGACGCTCTGATTGGCGCGTTACCTCGACTGGTTGCGTAAGTGGCGCTTGCGCATGAGCAGTGTTTCAGTAGACGTTAGTGGATAAATATTTTAATTATATTTTTATAGAAACAGGAAACTATTTATTTTTTTAATCTCTGTCTTTTGATACGTCTATCGAAAAAGAATACAATGATGGCCAAAAATCATACGCTCTATGAAATGTTACCGCAGCCTATAGACTCGGCAAAACGGGTTCACGAGCACGGTACCGACCCTTTAGATGTCTTAGTATATATTAAGAGATCCATACTGTAGTCTCTTGAGAAAATTTTCACAGGGGATTCATTTCATTCTCTGAAGCCACGCAGTCCTTATAGTGTGAAAAATATTATCTATTTCAATTATTCACGCTTAATAACATTACATGAATTTTCAAATATCTTTTTTTACAAGATCCATGAAAACTGTGCTCTATTCCACTCTGTTATCGAACAATAATAACCCGCTTCTACTCGAGAAGATACTACGTAGGTAGGTACATACTTTTCTCAAACAACTCTATTTTGAATAGCATAAGAAAGGTCACATGGTAGTATTTAATATACGTTACCTACTTAATACCTACCTGCCCAAGGTAGGGCTTACACGGAATGTTCGTATTTTATTCCGTCGTGTTTGAGGATAGGGTTTTGTAACCCAACTGTAATGTGCTTACCATCTGTTCAGTAATACAGCACAGGTATAAAATATATATACATGTGTTTATAGTTATAAAAATTGTGTCGAGATAACACACTTAATATTGAAAAGGTGTAAGTTATCTGTCTGTTTTTGAAGTGAGAAGGTAACAGATTGTTCCACAACTAAACGATCTGGATCTCCATTATATCATTATAGTGGACAGAGACTATCTTTTATATATGTATATTCTAAAAATATGTCGACATCGCGAGTGTAATTAATTAATGTAGAACTCAATTCGACGTTATTTATTTTAATAGTCTCATTTAGGGCTTTTTCGGAGGCTAAAAGGTATATTAGAAGTTGGGTTCATATTTAGTTTCAGAAATGTATTTTTTTGGGAAAAAATCTATTCATTTAAAAATCGCCAAGTAAATACAAGTTTGAATGAAAGTTAAAAGACCGAAGTAATAGGCAAGAATTAGAATTTACCTTCGCAGGTCTTATTGCCTCTGGGTTAATTAACAACCTTTCGGCAAATGAAAACCTTTTTGGTAGCAATTACGGCTCATAGAAATGGCCCTATTAATAATCTTTGTCTTTTGACGTTGGCTGTTTAAGAATAGAATATTTTTTTATGTAACTGGCAGTCCACCTGGCAGTAAATGATAACCGTCGTCCATATCGTCATGTATATACATGATCAGCACTATAGACATTATATTAGTATGTGCGCCAGTGATACCACTAATGTTTTGTCATTCCGGAGGACTGGGATGTCATGCCTCTCATCTTGTGATTTCACTGCTTTATTTGTATTTACAAAGTAAGCTTGGCGGCTGAAGTAAGTGGACACAGGCGCAGAGGACATTTTATATAATATCATTATCGATAAGGATCGATTCTATAGCGCTATCTATTGTTTATCGTAGTTTCAAAAATTCCCGTTTGAGACAAATCGTCAGATTGAAATTGAGTGTTTCAGTTTGCTTGTTTTCTGTTGTTCAGGGTTTTGTTGTCTTGTTGCTAATTTGATGAAAGCACTTGTATATTTTGTTAACAATATGTGGTGTATTTTCTATATGACTGAAAATGGTAAATAGTCTGTTGTGTGACTTCTAGAAAGTTTATTATTTACCAGCTTACCCTTTCCTATGTAGATGAATTAACCTTCACTAAAACTAGGTACTACTAGAACTACGGGTGAAGTAGTTCACGGCCTGCATTATGCAAATTGCTACTGAGTTCCTAGTTGTACGTTAGTTCTGAAAATCCAGCATTAGTATATGAGTACTTCCTTGGCTACGCAATATTCAGTTAAATTAAAAATGTCCTTTTTAAAAAGCATTAAGACTTTTTTACTAAACTAATTTAAGAGCTCCGAAAAATAATATAATATTCTAAATATTTTTATGTATATGTGTAAATACCATTATTAGAGATATTCCATATAGTAAAGGATACGTTATATGAAATAACTACGCTCGTCTGTTATTTGATAATGACTGTTTATGTGTCAGATAATATGTAAAATAAATCGTACATGGGTTGGCGGGCAATATAATGTATAAATTATATCCTATTTAAAATATCGAATTGATTGAAATCTTATTTTGACTCGTATTACATACATGCAACATACGAAAATAACGCGCATTCTTAAAAAAGTATACGCTACAGCATGAGTCAAAAATAGCGGTTATGTCAGTGCTCCCTCTTAATGTTATATCCCTAATCTGTACTTTAAAGCATTGTATCTTTTCTATACATAGCTTGTTTACTCTATACGTTAGTCTCTCTGTACTCTAAGATGTTCGGAACATCGTTGTGAGTAATTATTAATAGTACTAGTATTGATTTCTTCTGTATTTTTACGTAATGTGATAGGAATTGTCACGGTTACAAGGTAAAAATGTATTTGTTAATGTACTTCATCAATCATGAAGGTAGATTCGATTTTAAACCAACTTAAAAGCAGTAAGTTATGAAACTCTTGATATACATAATTAATGAATTCATACTACGATTATTTATTTATTTGAGCGCGTCGGCGATCGATCGACAATCACAACGTAACTGAGTTACGTCGTCTTTCGTCGGTCATTTCTCTTGAATGTAGTGATGATAATCGAATGCGAATAAATAAATGATCTTAACATCCCGTTTTTGTAATAAATGATGCTTAAATATTATTACCGATTTGACTAGCAGTGTATGTTGGCGGCTGGCAGGATGATGACATGACTCAGTCAGGTACTCCAACGATACGAATTCACCAGGAATTAACCAAATAAATTTCTACGGACCCCTCCAATACGATGAAGATTTGTTGAACTATATTGTATTGCGTAAATGTACAGATAGTATGTCTTCCTATTTTTTTTATGTATCATACATTTTAATCGACAAGTTATTTTTTTTTACTACGATGGTGGCAGACATACGGCCCCATTATTTTATTATACCTACTCACTTAATTGGATGCATATACTTTTGAAGGAAAAACATAGACTTAAACACGCACTACATCAGCAGGGAAACCATAATAGTGATCGTGTGGGCAAAAAGTTTGCAAAATTGTGCCCGAACGACGCCGGACCCCTAATACTCATTAGCAGAATGATTAAACTTCGTAACTGGTTTTTGTTCTCCGTTGTGTCTGCGTAGTCGGTCATTAAACTTTGCATGATTTGTATATAATGCGTATATTTTAAGATGTAATGAATTATATATGTACTTTCACGGCTGTAATTCCAGGTGAGGTAGTTTGAAACGTTTCCTGCTGGTCGCATAGACAACGTTAGTGGTGAACTGGCTACGTGACATGACCACATTTCTCCCAATATGTTTCTGTAACAGTTTGTGCGGAATATGTGCAATCTCCTGTAGTTTACAGGGTCTAAAGCTAACCCCTAACCAAAAGTCAGTAATAGATATGAAATTCAACAAATTTCACCAAGCCAAAAGAAGACATATTTTTTATCTTAAATTGCGCGATAATGTGATTTATTTTTTATTAAGAGTTTTAAGTTTGTTTTTAGATTTCTTCCTTTTTTGTTAGTAAAAGTAATTCGGTTTCATCTGTATTGTACCTGGCCTTATGACTAATTCTGTGATCGCTAGGTAGGTACTCCTATAACACATAATCCATAATAATCTCAGTAACTAGGCAATTCAGTTGCAATTAATAAAAAAACAAATGTGCGTGTCAGTCGATTGACACGCGACTCGTCTTCTGCTGTATTGATTGACCCAAATAAACCCTACTTCGTATTTTACCCTTAATGTACTAGAACATAACGAGTATCGATGTGTGTGTACTATAAAAATACACCACCGGTCAAGTGCTAGTCGTATTTATCCGCTCAG